AAAATGGTCAAAACTTGTTGAAATTTAACAAAAACAGCGAAACTAAGACATTTATCAAATTTTGCACTTTTTTCCTTTTTTTCGAATTTAGTGATTTTTCAGTAAAACACTATCTAAAATCATGAAAATAAGCAAAAAAAGCATTTCAGAAATAATTTTGCATTTTTCTGCTTTTGTGCGGCATTTTTTTTAAATTTAGTGAGTTGTTTTTTTAAATTTACTTAGTTTTACAGTGAAAAATGCTCTAAACTTGTCGAAATAAATGAGAATGAAACATTGTAAATCTACTTTTGTAGTTTTTAAATTTTTTTTTTAACAAAATCTCTCAATTGTTGTTTATTTCTCGGGAAAAACTTACTAAATTTATAAGTTTATGTATTTTTCAATATAAAATCTGCTACTCCAATACTTCCGCTTTCCGGGTTTCAAAGTATTATTGTAGAGAGACTGAAAAAAAAGACGTCCTGGAGAGTCTTTTAATACCAAAAAATTCTACAATGTTACTAGAAATATTATTGCATGTTTTTGCGTTTCTAATGGAGATATAGAAATATGTATAAAACGTTCTTGGATTAATTCTTAAATTTTTTTTTACTTTTAAAATTTGTAAGTTGAATTTATATTTTTGATATTTAGAAATTTTCTCAATAACTATTTATCGAAGAGCACTGATCTTTTTTGTATATCATAGAAAATTTAATTTTCTTTCCAACGATACCCAACTCGAGAGTTTATCACCAATAATTCCTAAGTTATTAACCATAAACCCCTCTACCGAAAATCGCCCAAAATTTTGACAAAAATCGATAAAATTAAAAACTTCAAAATTGTCCATTTGCACTCTTGGGGGTTCAAAAAACTTCCAAAAGCACAAAAACGTTGTAAAAATGCAAAATATAATTTTTTGAAAAATTATGTAAAATATATTGAATAAAAACATTGAAATTGTCGGCGACCGTGGTGGCTCAGCGGCATAAGGTCCCACTTTCCGGCAGGTAGGTCCCGAGTTCGAGCCCCGGTCAAGTCGGCAATTTTTCTCAAATTCAAATTTAAATATAATTCAAATAAATGTCAAAAGAGGGCGGGCGCATAAGAGCGCGATCTTTAAAACATGTGCACATGTTCTAATAAGTATAAGAGAGAAAGCGCACAATACTAACAAAATAAGCACCAATAGATGGCGGGCGTATAAGAGCGCGAACTTTAAAACAAGTATCTACAAAAGTGAAAATAGTGTAAAAGTTAATAGTAATAATATAAGTAAACAAAAGGTAAGTAATAATAATAATAGTAATAAAAGTAATAACAGTAATAATATTAACTTTATCAGAAATTTTCTCGAAAACAATTTATCGTAGAGCACTGATCTTTTTTATATATGATAGAAAATTAAATTTTCTTACCAACGGTACCAAATATAAGACGTTATCTCTAATAAGTCCGGAGTTATTGCCATTAGACCGCTCCGGGTGCCAAAAATCGATCAAAATCTCGATAAAAATCAAAAAAATTTTCAACTGTAATATTGATCCATTTAACGGTTTTTACATTTCTAGAGGTCTTAAAGACTCAATTCAAAAAATGCAAAACTCAAATGCAAAAAAGCGTGAAACGTTGTAAAAACATAAAAATAAGTACATTGGATTAAAGCAGGGATACTGGACGGGGGCGTGGTAGCTCAGTGTATAGGGTGGGGCATCGGTTACGAGCAGAAAAAAATCCACACTTGTAATTAAATAAAATTGTTGAATTTTTTCACACTTACCTGGGCATTAGTAAGGTACATTCTCTAATTTTTTGGTAATTTTTCATTTAGTGAATTTTTTTATTTTGTTACATTCTTGAAATTCTTAAAAAAAGAGTTAAATGCTCTGTGACAAAATTTGTTATTCAGAAATTCTCGAAATTGCTCGGAATTGA